GGGGAGGGGGGATTTTCGTTTTCACTGCAATAGCTTAAAACTAACTTAAAATTCAGACTTTATTGCCAGGTTTTAGTCGAATGGTACTTCATGTATTATACAAACACGTGTATCACCAAATGTATTTATTGGTAGGAATAAAATAATATACCATATACGACGTTCCTACCGTTCCGCAATAATAAGACAATTTTGGCAGGAATTCTAGTCAGTTCACTACTCAATGACGTTATAATCAAATCCTTTTGTGAATTAATGCAATTTTTAATATTTTATTTCGGCATCGAGCTAGAATTGTGATGATATCTCGAAGATATGACCTATTAATACCAAATTAATGGTACTTAAGTCTCGCTCGGTTCCACACCCAGTAAAGTAAAATGATAAAAATATAACGTTTTTTTGCTCTATTTGAATAAGTTTTTGATGACGTTGGAAAGAAACTTGCTTTGATCCCCCTTTTTGCATTTGAGTCTGGGCGTGGCTAAGAGCACGATAAGATATCATACCTTATAAGGCGTTGAACTTTAAATACGAACAGTAATCTTTATAGAAAATATTTTACTTTTCGCACAGTCTTAAGATTTCTTTTGGCCAATCAGGAGAGAGATTAATCAGAATCATGTTGCCCTTAGCCAATCACAATCTTTCATTCCCACGATTGTTGATAACGTCTAAGATTTTTCTCAAATATCTAGGCCTCGTTGCTTTCTCCTGATTGGTTCAAGTTTGACTTAAGCTTGAACAAGATTTAAGATCCAAAAACTTTAGCCAATCAGGAGAGAGCAAATCTAGTATCATATTGGCTTTAGCCAATCACTATCTCTCATTTCCATAGATGTTGATAACATCTAAGTTTTTTTCCAGATATCTAGGCATCGTTTCTTGCTCCTGATTGGTTCAAATTTGACTCAAATTTGATTCCTTCATTTTCACTCTATGTTGTGATTGGTAAACCTTCTTCAAGTTTTCCCGGTTAGAGCGTTGAGTTAACTAAGTACGGTAACGATGTACAAAAAAGAACCGTCCTCTACCTCTCTTCCCCTGGAACAACCGCAATTCGCCAAGCACCATTCTTGTTAAAATTATTTCAAATAAATATAAACCTGCTTGAAGCGGACAATAATCAATATTTCAAATTCTGTTCAAATGATGATAAAAACATAATTAAAATCCTTATACTAGGATCCCTGTGGTTTTTAAAGATTTTTCTGTCCGTCCATATCATTTCTTACCTTGGAGTTCATTTTGGTCTTTTGGGTATTTCGTACGCAGAATAGAGTGGATTTGAGATGACATTTCTTATGACACGTAAATCGACAATCTGGAAAAAGAAAGAGACAACGTTTCCTTCACGGAGGGAGGAAAACTGGAAACCCGGCGAAAAAGATGGTATAGGGAGGGGAGGGTGAGTAAAGTAGTCTTAGAGAGGGGTGGGTCCGTAAAGATTTGACAGATGTATAGATACACATTGAGAAACATGGACGACTTGAACTAACAGGTCACGTGACCCTGATGCTAATTTTGAAAAAATCTGGTCATGTGACTCTAAAAGGAAATGGCCAGTTTAGATAAAACGGGTGATTTAGGGAGGGAGGGGTTAGTAGATATTTACCTTGGCAAACCATGCCTTTCTCTAGTACCCATATCAGTGAGTTACAATGTTCACAGAATGTGGGAATACTGAACTGCGCCACAGCGAATTTGTGGTTATTATGAACCTAAAAAAACAAAAACACTTGATGCAACGATACAATACCATAGCCGAAAGAAATATCAATTCTTGGGATGCAACCACATGACTCAAAATCCCTAGAAATCAGTATAAATAACAGCCGCCATGTTGGTTGATTTAACAAGAGAAGGTAATGAGAAACGCTTTGTTATCGTCAACCAACATGGTGGCTGTGACGTAACATGCACCCCAAGAATTCTTGGAGTGCAACCACATGACTCAAAATCCCTTGAGATATGAATAACAATGAAACAGCCACCAGGAATACTTTGTTATCGTCAACCAAGATGGCGGCTTTGACGTAACATGCACCCCAAGAATAGCGTGGTTACAAAAATCTTTGGGTATAGATGTGTAACTTGATGTGCAACGATAACATAAGTTCCTTACTCACCACAACATCGGATTTCCTTTTTCTTTTCTTTAAGTTCTGTCGGAAGAATATAGAGGTATCAATATCTTAAAAGTGCATGCTGGGAAGATCTGGGGGTATGACCCCCCCCTGTTATGGGGATCAAATGAAAAAATATAAATGGAAATGCTGAAATGGAATGAATAAATGGGTTGTAATTCTTTTTGGGTGTCATGTTTTTCCATTTTCTTACTTGTTTTGGGGCTCTACTTTTCTCTGCTTTTACAAGCGCCTGGGCCCTAAAAATATTAGACACAACTTTAGTGAATGGTCACGCAATAGCGATAAAATAGTCACGCAAAAGTAACACAATAATCACGCAAAAATCACGATCAGAGACAAACAACAGTCACGTAAGTTACCTTGTATCAAAGTATTCATCTAAAACGCCGTTGAATGCATTAACGCCCATAATGACAGGGAAGGTCACATCAATCCGCTCCGTTTTGATAATTTTCCCCAGGATTGTTTCGAATTTGCTTGTCATCTCTTCGTATTTTAAACTGACATTCTTTCCATGCTGGTAAATAAAGATTATACATGTTAAAACACGTTGTCACGCAGATAATGTGTGACTCCTTAAAAGTGACCATCATCTTGGCCACTCAAACTCCAATTAGCACTTAAGTCATTCCCTAGAGAATGATTTCTTTCTTTTTACCGTTAACATTATGCAGGGACATGGCAGTTGATCTACTCTTACGAGAAAACCTAGGCTTGGGCACCCTGTGCTTTAGTCTCATGTAACACCGTAACCAAACTCATTTTGCAGTGGCGAGAGGTGAGCCCTCTACACTACGAGACCTCTTCCAGGGATTCCCTCCGCAACGGGTTTTTTTTCGTACTTACATTGATTATTAGAGAGCGTTCCGAGATTAGAAAAGTATGGAACTCGTGCAACGCCTTCTTGAATACCCGGTCCACGATAGTATCCCGGATATTTTGTTCTTGATTCATTAGACTTATCTACAAAAACAAAACACTTGATTAACATTGATTTTCTCCTAACTAGATAATCGTTGTTTCCTTGGATTTGGTAGGAAGAAAATGGAGATTGTATGAGTGGGGAAAAGGCCTGAAATGATTTTCAATTGGCTTGTTGAGTCCATGAATTGTGATTGGACAATTTGTGTCCGTTTGACTCATGATTGGTTCAATGGACCGGCAGTGACTTTCAATTGGCTTGTTGAATCCATGAATTGTGATTGGATAATTTGTGTCTCATGATTGGTTCAAAGGACCGGCAGTGACTTTCAATTGGCTTCTGAATCCAAAAATTGTGATTGGATAATTTTTTTTTTCACAAAAAAAGAACCATGATAAAGATCGTATTTCTCTCTACTAAACTAAGCCAAACCAACTAATGTAACTGAGGAGAATATAACCTTTGATCGCCTTTACCTTGTGAGTAAGGAAAGATTCTAGCGCGCCCAGATCAGCTGCTCCACGAGCGACTTTCTTGTCTGTTGGTTTTAGTTGTTTATTGGATGTGATGGCAGACTTAGAGATCGTACTGACTATCTTGGTCTGCTTTAGAGCGTTCAGCAAATCTACATGAAAATCATGAAACAGAAGAGATGAAACCCTTTTCTGACATAGTGAAGTTGTGAATAGACCCCTTCACGGTTCCCTGCGCCATCTTGAAAGGTAACCGTGCCTTTGCTTCGAAGCGAGACAAACGGTGAGCTTGCAGTGATAGGGACCTGTGAATAATTGTCCTAGGTGTGTATCATTGCAAGCTCATGTTCGTCTCGCTTCGATGCAAAGGCACGGCTACCTTTCAAGATGGCGCAGGGAACCGTGAAGGGGCCTATTGGGGTCTATTTTGGTTACAAACATCCTTTGTTTATCATGCCTTATATGGTGCAGTATGTACACAAGCTAGACCACAAGGCACTTATATTTATTGAACTCTGAAAATGCCTATGGACACAGGTAGGTACTTCATGTAGTCTGTTTACTATTGTCCTTTACATGGATTTACCTTTAAAATTAATATTTTATTATAGCAATGAAGTGTCTACCCATCTACAGATCTCCATCAAGAAATAAAATCAAAATTATGAAGTAGTCATGGGTAACGCCTTAAATAAACAGCGAAAATGTTCGTATAAACGGTATTATTTTTTATTTATCTTATTTTCCCCCCTGATAAATGACCCTAATGTACTAATACACTCTAACAACCCCTTCCCCCTCCCCCTCGGTAAAAAATGTGTCCTAGCCTCTCAAACAAAATAACATACTCTCCCTACCCTCGACAAAAATGATATATTCCTCGCCAACAAAGACACTTCCTACCTTCAGTGGATCTCGATTGTTTAATCTCGTTTTTCTCGCTTTTTTCGTGTTTTTCTTGTTTCTTCACGCTATTCTTCGCCAGTCCAGGCTCTGATTTCCGTCGAAAAGAATTCCGATTTTTCCGCCGGAATAAACTCCGACCCTTCGACTTCCGAACATCGCCCGAAGACGATGACAGTGACGTCAAACTCGGTAACGTCTCCGTCGACGTCGATCCTTGCTTCAGGTCTGCGAGTATATCATCGTCCATTGAATACTGGGTCAGCGGTCGCTCATCCGGGATATCTGATGTGCTCATCCGCTGACCAAGTTTGGTTTTTGACTTGGTCGATAAGCTTCGTCGTATCCTCGAGGTCATACGACGCGGGAACGCAGTACAGGAAATATCAACCGTAGAAGTGTTCAATTCCATCAGCTGAGTAGGAGAGTAGACCGTGTTCAGTTTGACGACATCCGGTACTTCAGACTTCTCTTCATCTGCGCGTTCTGTTTTGATCGTTAGGGGAGTAGGGCGGGGAAGCGACCGTACACGACGCTGGGCTGCGGGATCTGAAGCCGTTCTTCTTCGTATATCCTGTAAAGCAAGGAAGCTATCTTAGTTATTTGTTTCTATTAAGATTGTGGGATAGATATTTCATACTTACCTCTGGACTGAAAAGAACCAACTCGCGCTCAAACCTCTTCGACAAATCTTTAACTCTAAAATAGAATGAAATGCTTTGTTATGGTCCTGTGTAACACGATGTTGAGCACCTACGGTCATGTGCGACGCATTACGGAGGAGGGAGTTTTTAATCACATTACAAAACTTTATATTTTCATATTTTCAACAAACAAAGAAATCTAAAATTCCGCTAGAAACCGGAAATGACGTCATACATACTAAGTAATGCAAGGTATCTAAAACGTCGAATGAGTGATTGGTTCCCAGGAACCATCTTCTTGAACTTACCGTGAAGCTACAAAATCATTGGGTTCGAGGTGTTCATCTTCGGTTGTTATCTTTAAAGTGGGTGTTTTTGGTGGAGGCACCTTGATATCTTCCATGATTGTCTTTTTCAGCTTGTCGTAATCAGAAGGATCACTGATGGAACGAACGAGCCGACGAGAATCGATATCACCAATCCTGGGGGGAGGGGTGGGGAATAAATTGGTAATGTAGTTAGTATATATATCAGGTCTGGGGGTGTTGGGGGAAGGGATAAATTTTTACTGTAATAAACCTTTGGGGGTGGGAGGG